ATCCGCGTAGCGCTGGTTCCGACGACTTCTTCGTCCATGGCATACGGGAGACACCCCGCCGGCAGCCCAAGTACGACCTAACCCGGCTGTCCTCCGCAGCACTGATGTTGCTAGGTGTTACGTCATGCCGTCGCTCTCTATAGCCAGCCAATCCTGTGCGGCTGACGTTGCTATGCCTCCTATCGCCTAGCCTCTCGTCGAAATAAGCGGCCGGGGTGCGGGTGCGCTCTTTGGACGCCCTCGCAAGCTCCTGCCGCCGGCTTTGGAGACCCGTGGACGTACGCAGGCTGCGGTTCCGTTCTTCGGCCTACCACACCGTTCTTGACGCGCAGTCGTCTTAGCATGTCACCGGGCCGTAAGCGCACGGTGAAGACGCCCCCGTATGCACAACATGTATGCACAACAACTAAATGGCTCTGTCGTATTCCGCGCATCTAGCGTACGTCCTTCATGCACACGCTAAGTGACCTGATCTGCTTGTGAACTTCGTGAACATTCACGAAGCTTACTGCTTCGGGAACGTTCACCCCGAGAAAATTGCTCCGAGGCTGCATTCACCATGCTTTGTTATACATATATAACCGCTGCGCGAAAGGATGACGCATTTCTTCGAGAATCAGCGTGGCGGCAGGAGCGATTTCGTTCTTTCATCCAGCATACCGGATTTATCATCTACGTGGTTGGGGACGAGGGTAAGCGAAAAAGGCCTAGTAACGCCAGTAACGCATGAGCCTGGAGAAGAGGAGTACCAAACGCAAGATAAAGCGAACACAGAAAGCGTCACAACACGAGTTCGCCTTGTGGCTTCAATTTTTAATGTTCAGTGCTTCATTAATTATCGGAAATTGTGCTGCCTCGTCGCAAAGTATGGCATCGAGGAACATAGAGGTCGCTAGGTATTCTGGTCGTTATCTGAAGAGGTAGATCATAATTGCCTGAGAGTCGGTTTTCCAACGGAAAAGACTTCGGAGCCCCTATTTTGCTCTATTTCTGGATAACTAGAGGACGAGGGAAGGAGACTGTGCTCCTCTAGGAACATTACCAAAAGGCAAACAAATGCCCACGAACTCTGTCTGGGGCGCAGGGAGGATTCTAGATCAAATTAGGGAGGTAATTGCGTCCCCCAGAAATTAGTTTTAGGATAGCCCGGTCTGTCTCTTGCCTTTATATAGTGGAAATGAGAAGATGGGGGGAAGGACATAGAAAAAAAAAAAAAAAAGATCGTAGCTATCGATCGATTACTGGCGTCTCTCCTCATCTAAAACTGGCATAAGAAGGAAGATATAGAAGAAATAAGCCTCTAGGTCTTAGAGGAATAAAAATAGACAAAACAAGTGGTGTTTAGACTAGATAGCTATTGGCAAGAAATGGACACAAGCCGCTGCCTTAGAATTCAGGCGGCGACTTCTGGTATTCCGCCAGTCCTTTTAATTTAGAGAGTCGAACATTTTCGACAATAACATAAAAGTTATTTACAGCTGCTATCTATTGCCAATTTTTAACTTTTAATTCCTGACATCTAGAACTGTGAACTTCTAGGATAGAGACTCAATCTTCTGAACCGGCTGCGCTCTCTTTTTGTCCCGGATCACGAGCGAGAGAATGTGAGCGTCTTTATCATTCTCTCTGTTGCAGCCACCGATCAGATAGCAATTTCCTGCGTCTGGTCTGTTCTACCTAGCTGCCTTCGAATCCTATTTCTTTACTAAATCAGTCTCGACATCAGCATCTTTCGAGGTGTGGAGCCCTTTACAGTAGACAGCTGAGTACATGTTTGTTTCATCGTCCACTCTTAAAACATACCGTGTCATTTTTTTTATCAAGCTTTGTATATTTTTGTCTACAACATTCATACCATCGAACTGAGTTGAATTAGTGGTGACTGAATAGTTTGATATTAACATTCGTTATATGTGTGAGCTTCGCATTCACTATAGTAGCCTTGCATTTCTTAGAGGACAAGCGTGCTTTCCTTGCCAGCGGCAATTCGCTTTTTCTCGCGTGAGTTAAATCGTGGAGGCGCAAGTGTGCGAATAGCCCCCAACTACTTCCGGTTTGGAACTAGACGGCTGGTTTCGTAGTATTTGTGATATCAATTCCACACGCTATCCTTTGGAAATGGCCACTTCTAGCACTGTCAGACTTAATTCACCGTTATGATAAAAGAATGATGAGTAAAAATTAGGGAATATACGTGAACCGGAAGTGTACCGGGGCTACCCAGTAGATGGCGCCACTGGGTTTGTTGCCTCGGAGTGAGAGTTTGGCCAATGGGCGGAGCTTGTTGCTCGTTATACTCCGTTTCACCTTATGTTGTACCGCAGCGAAGACTAGAAGCGCGAGCTCATAGAGTTGGCAGCAGCCCTTAGTGCACGAGAGCTTGTGCCTCCGAGACGTCCCCTAGAGCATGGAGCTCGCGCTTGTAGCCTTTCCTGCGGTACATCATAAGGTGAAATAGAGTATAGAACTATACTTCGTTTCAGCTTCGGTCCGAGCGTGGCCGATGTTATTAGCCGAAGGGCCAATCAAACAGCGAAAAAGGCACAATCATGGCGTGCTCTCCGCAGTTGATAGGACCAGCCGGTATTCGCCGTCTCTCTGTGCGCGCTCCTCCGCCGGCTAGTCCTATCAAGCGCAGAGAGCACGCCATGACGCGGCGCTTTTTACGCTGTTTGATTGGCCCTTTGGCTTATAACGTCGGCCGCGCTCGGACCGAAGCTGAAACGAAGTATAGCAGATTTCGCGACAACACAAAATGGCGTTACTTCTTTGTCTTGTTTATTCCTGAGAAATCGCAGAGTTCCTATGAGTCAGAGCCACAAAATGGCGGACGGAATTAGTCATCCCCCGGTTGTCAGACTACGCTGCTGTGGTTGCCAGGCTGTCAAAATCTCCTTAAGAGGGCCGAACTCTCTCAGTATAAACGGCTCTGTGTTGCCACGGCCGGACTGGAAGCGCGCTCTCTCTTTCTCTTCTTACGGCCTTTGCAATCGCCCGGGAGTCAATGGCATTTTTTCTCCGTATGTAGTTCACTTGCTTGCCGCCAGGGGCGCAACCACCTCACCCCACTTCACCCCACTCGGAGAGTCCCTTCGAGCTGCTTTGCGCTGGTGTTCGAGCTTCGCAGGTTGTTGTTTTGGCAACGGTTCCTCGGAATACTTCTGATTAACCATGCAAAGACGTTCACGACAGGAACGAAAAATCAGCTGGATATGTGCACAAGCCCTCGAGGAAGCACTTTAGGCTGTGATATGCACTGTGCGAAAATTGTACAGACTACTACACCCTCGTCTAGAGCAGCTGACCGACTTCATGTGCGGCCTATAAAATGCTGATACAGACCACGGCAATGGATAGATTGGGCCTGCTTACATTTCACGAGAGTGTACAAATTATTTATCATTTATAGTTCCTCCACGTAGAAGGTGTCTGTCTCCTCCTGTTCTTGAGTTTCAACAAAAGTCCTGGAGGTAAAGACGAGCATATTTTTTCTGCAATTGCATTCGCTGTTTCTACTTACTACTTTTTACTCCCAGATATCTCGGAGATGTGCGTCAAATATTCACCGTTTTGGGCTCATCAGAAGCGCATTAGATAGTGGCTGAGGGTCTAAATGTAAGAATCAGGTGTCAAAGGCTATAAACATTTCGGCCGCAAGTTGTGACAGGGTTGAGATCACCTTTGTGCACTGCAAAGGGTAGCCCAGGGGTGAGGTGACAGCGCCCCCCGCGAATTGCGGCGGGAGGTGGCGATTGCCCCAATAGACCCTTTCCGAAATTCAGTGCCATCTGGTGGTTCGTAAAGCAGTTTAGGTTTTGCCATATCAATGGCGGATATGAACTTGTATGGACACCGTCACTTTCGCAAGTCAACGGCACGCGAGGAATTGTTTAGTGTGAGTTCTTTCTCGATCACTTTCAGTTCGATGGTGACCAAGAACCTGCATTCAGAACAAGGTTCTAACCCACTCATATGCCTCGAAAAAATTCTATACACCAAAGTGCTTTAAAGCCGATTGTGTGCCGCGCACAGATTGATGTAATTTGAGTTATTAGAAACAAACGCTTACGTAGCTCTTGTGTTCCCTTCCTACGTCGCGTCGTACTGACCCCCCGAATGTTCAGGCCTCGCATCATCCGCTTAGGAGCATCTTCAACGTCTTCCTTTATCAGCCACTAGAAGGCCCCACAGATGCCGTTCCACAGATGATGATAGTGATCAAAGTGGCCAGACTGAATTTCGGAAAGGGTCTATTGCAAAGGCCGTAAGAGAAAGAGAGCGCGCGTTTCCAGTCCGGCCGTGGTGTTGCCTAACAAAAATGGGCGATTAGGCTACTGGCAAGCACCTCTGGCGTTGTTGGCGTTCAACTGGAAGGTTTCTCACTTTACACGAGCTTACTGGCACTAGTGGGACTCAAGGATACGCGCACGCAACGCCACAGGCCAAGAAACTCCTTTGTTGCGCTGTAATTTCGAGGAAAAAACCGAGTGTTTTCATTCAATCTCTCCTTCGTAAAACCTGATGACGTAGCTGGGCGGTAGCAGTACCACCCAGTGACGATATTTGAATGCGGCTCATGAATTGGACCCGAGTATGGCGTGGACACTCGATTTGGGCTCGTGATAATCGATAGCTCGAGAAGCATTCGGGTAGTGTCCTGTGTCCAATCGCCGCAGTGACGACAACACCGAAACCATAACAATGTCTGCAACTCAGCGCGTGTCATATGCCTTGCCAACCGCAGCGCATGGCTATGATCAGCATTGGCGGCATATAATCGGCTCCAGATCACTTGGCCGCTTGTTCTGGCTGCGAGTTGAGGGGGTAAATTCTGCTCGTTTTTTTTTTTTTTTTTTTTCTGCGATTTCGATTGCGTGTGGTGAAAAACGCACGGGTATTTCACAGGTCGTTAACGTAAGGGATCCGTTCTAAGCGGTATTTGCTCAAAATACAAGAATCCTTGCATCACCCCTTTAAGGGTATATTGTCATTTTCTGCAGCCGAAAGCCTGCGCGGATTTCGTGTCATGGTGGACAACACGGGCCTGGTGTCGACGTTCGACCGTTACTACGACGAGAAGAACTACGGCATACCGCACGCCATCGAGGAGAATTTCCTGCATGCCTTCACGTGCGCCCTTTACCCTATCACGTCGCCCTCTTTCCGGGTGCTCAGGCTCAACTGCACTCAGCCCGTGCTTGGTCAGTACGTGACCCTCCAGATCTTCGGGCGGCAAGACACCCTACGCTTCTGCGAGTTCAAGGTCTTCGCCCAAGGTCGACCAATCTTATTATATATTTGTTTATGAAAAATGAAAGGGCCGTTGCAACTCCCGTAACGCCGAATTAGAGCGCAGCTCTTGAGGAGGAGAGAAGGGTACTGAGGGGAGAGTATACCTCGCCTCCCTCCTCATCCTCCCTGCTACTCCTTCTCCCGTCCTCCCTACTCTTCCTATCTCTCCTCCTCCTCCCCCCTCCCCCTCCTTCTCGCCGCTTGCCGCTCCTCCTCCTCTTCCATCCTCCTGCTCTCACCTTCTCTCCCTCCCCCCTCTTCCTCCTTCTCCCCCTTCTCGCTCCCGACGCCGACGCGTCACGCCGAGGCGTTACGGTTACGGCGACGCCGACGCGTTACGATTACGGCGACGCCGACGCGTTACGGTTACGGCGACGCCGACGCGTCACGCAAACGCGTTACGCAAACGCGTTACGGTGACGCCGACGGCGATGGCGACGCCGACGCCGCTCAAGCCAGAAACGGGCGCCTAAGAGCTGCGCTCTAAAAGTAACCTTAAAGGGGTACTCCACCGGTTTTTTCATTGTCTCCGATTTGCTTGAAATTTTTCTAAACTAACCACAAACATTGCTAAAATAGTATCCCAAATATTAGGTCAAAATATTGTTTTTTCGCGAAGTTATTGAATTTACAGTTTTGGTCTTCACCATGTTTTTCAAACTGAAAGCCTCTACTGGCAACAACAACAAAGTGACGTCAGTGGAAGGCAGGGGTTAACTTTTTGGACTACAGAAGTTGTTCCCAACGGATTTGAAGCAGTTTCTTGGTGTCAAATGAGTGCTTTGGAGGCTCGCTCCCGTATCCGCGCTCCAGCACGGAACAAATAATTGGCATATTCTATTTTTAGACTACTTGCTCGACTGGCAAGCCTGCCTGCCACTGACATCACGGCACTGAAAAGTGCGCGAATATTTGAATATTGGTTTTTGCACCATTTTCATTGGCCGATCTCGCAATAACTATTATGAATTTCGCGATGCTAAATAGCATACCGGAAAGGCTAAAGGCCGGGGAGTCAGAAAATATAGTTAGTTGAGGTAGCTCAAAAAATCGGTGGAGTACCTTAAAGGGATGGTGAACCAAAATTTGGATTTCAAAAAAACAGTGCAGGAGATGTAGGCGGGACGCTTCAATCCCTGCATTACTACTTGAAAGGCGATATCTGGAATGGACGGCCGTATTTTTGAAAAAAGAGGTCGAAACCGAACCAGGCCGACGAGGCGAGTGACATCAAGATATCTCGTTTTCTCGTCTCTTCGCTTCGCCCCCTCAAGGCGGCGAGGCGGAGAACACGCGAGGTCGTTCCCTCTCCTTCTCGGAGAAACAAGACGTAAACATATCTGGCAAATACCGCCTCCTTTTTTTAAAAAAAAATACGATCATCCGTTCGAGGTATCGTTGTATGAGTGATGTTTTCGTGTTTGTAGCATCCCGTTGGACGCTTTCGCCGCGTGTTCTATGGAATCCAGATTTCGGTTCAGCATCCCTTTATTAATTGAGGAGACGCGTTGCAGTTACGGCTACTACTACAGATCTCCAGGTGTACCATTACCCGGTCAGGTTTAGGCCGTCGCCTAACTGCAGACAATCTCAAGTTTGGCGACGGCTTCCACATTCCATTATCCGTGATTCGAGCAAAAGAGCAAGACAGCTTTTTACGCGCGTTGCCTACATTTCACAGTGTTTTCCTTTGCTCGGCGCCAACTATTTTGTGCTACCTTGTCAAGGCTGGCGTAGCTTTCGCAGTGTTCCAAGTATGTTGAAGCTAGATACGCGAGCGAAAGGCAATGAAATGCAAGAAGTCACGTGCTCTCGCAGTAGAACGGGGTGCGGCACTGTGGAAGCTATGCTAGCCCTGACAGTGTAGCAGAAAATAGCTGTCGCCGAGTATAGTCCGTTTTTACATAACATCAATTTGCCTCTTTTTTTAGATTTTAGCGTGATGGAATTTATAAGCTTTTGTGCACTACCAACTTGAGGGTGTGATGTGAATCTCCGGAGTGCTCTCCTTCTACACGCGGCAAAGTGCTCGTTACAACAAAATGGTGGACAACATGACGTTGGTGGAAACACCCTATAGACCAGTCTACAATAGATCACGTGCAAAAGGAAAAACGTCATATTGTATACTCATCATCAATTACCAAATTTCCGCCACATCGAGGGTTTCGTTAACGATAGTTTTGCCGAAAGACAATAGCCCCGGCAAAATGGGAGTCGTAGAAAGAAAATATGATCACGCGCTGCAAGTCCAGTACGAACTTTTCACACGACGTCTTTGATAAGGGCCGCTCACTGGCCTCGACAGCCCAGTTCACTGCTTGAGTGACGAATCTTGCGACCTCATTGCTGACAAAACTTTTTTTTTGCCAGAATTTCGCGGCCTTTTTTCTTTTCTTCTTTGAACCAAAACTAAGCAGCAACCCATTGAGTGCACAGATACATTGTATAATATCATGAAAACCGAGTTAAATGCAGATTCGCCTTGTCCACAACTGGAAGATGTGGAATACCTCCCCCCCCCAATCCTGGCGGCTCCTGCATGATGATGATAGCTCTCAAGAATTCTGCACATGGCCTATTGAGCAGACACCGCCAATGGAAGACACCTTGCTCTGCTAGCAGCCGACCAGCCTATATAGCATGCATTCATTTGTTGTAGTCTAAAGTCCTTCTACTACTACACCTATAGTCTCTATTTTTCCATCTAAACCAAACAAGCAACATTTTTGTCCTTAAAAAAAAAAATTGTTTTCAAATTTTGTTTACATTGTCAAGTGAAACGTAGAAAATTGTCAGCTTATGGCGAAGAACCTATTTTCTATCAACTGTTTAGTCAACTCTGTTGGAGACGTTTTCTGGGCTGTTCAAATTGGTTTCGTTTTCTTCATCTCGGGTTTTAATATCTGTACCTCCTGGTTTCCATAGTAGAGCTCAGTACCTTTCTTTGAGGGTGGCTTCATCTGAAACCTAACCCGGTCGTCTCTAGAGTCCTGCGGGCAGCCGCTGGGCATGGCCTCTGAAGAGATCTTCGACACCCAGCTACACGCCTCTTCGATCGATGACTCCGGCCCGTACCACTTCACCAACGCACGTCTTAATGCCGAGTACGGATGGTGTGCTGGTCCGTCTGATGCCCAGCGGTACCTGCAAGTGAGCCCATACCATTTTTTTTATTATTTATTTATTTGCAAGGTACAAAATATTCGCAAGATGCAAGTTAATAGCATTAAGTTTCGTTGTATCTTGCTATAGCATGATACAACACTAATTTATGCTAGAAACTAGCGAATCTAGTTTTAATTCTTTATTTATATTTTTTTTATTAGCACTTATTTTTCGTTGTCATAAAGTTGTTTTTTTGTGTGTGTGTCTATTGTTAGCACCAATTTTTTTTTAGTGACGGTGAAACGATTAGTTATGTAAGGAATTGGAGGTAATAAGATAGACAATTACAAAAAACAAGTACTTCATTCTTACTTTATTTTTCTCCTTTCTTGCTCAAATAACGATAGAAAATTGTATGCATAAATACCGGTCGATTTATCATCTTTTATTTTTATGTTGTCAAAATTATAAACACTATCAGTGGCATGTTTATAATGTTAACACAAAAGCTCTGCCTGAAGGGCACATCTCAGAGGTCTGTGAAGTAACACTCGCCCCGTTTGCATTTTAGGTAGACCTCCAGAACCACACTCGTATCACGGGCATAATATTGCAAGGTATGAGCACTCCCGTGAAGAGCGGCTACGTCATCGCCTTCCACCTGACGTTCAGCAACGACAGCATCTACTGGACGTCGGAAGAGCAGCCCGTAGGACACCGTAAGGCGAGTCGCGTTCGAAATATAAACTTTTGAATTTGGTTGGCTATATAAAATTGCGTTTATGATGAAGTGGGGCACTACATCTGCCAAAAACCTATGTTATTGTGAGCTCACAAATATTCGCATAAAAAAAAGGGCTCGATACAGCTTCTCATGGTGACATTCGTTAAATGTCTATAACAATTTTGTGAGAATAACGCGTCGGGTTGTCTGGTCAGTACACTGATCCTGGCCGGCATGGCTGAAACGGATTTATTAAAAGTTTGCTGTCTTGAACGCTTGTGAATGGCCGCAGGTGACTCTGTTGTTAGGCTGCTATGTGGCTATGACAAACTGCACAGGTGGCAGGAGAACGAAGTGCAGGGACGACCGGCCTAAATTAGTGCCGTAATGAACCACTCTGTTTCTTCGCCCCAAAATGTCTCTGTGAAGCCAGAACGGTTGACCTCATGCAAAATCAGTAGCAACTTCAAAGGGCTGAAGTTCTTAGCGATTCTTACAAAGTCGGTAACATATCGTTTATTTTAACTAAACGAACTTGGAAGGCAACTGAAACTTCCAGATTTGTTTCTTATCTCGTGATAATATAGCATATTCTATTGACTGAGTCAGCTTGTTCGGACATTCCCATTAGCATTAGTATCATAACACCGGCAGATGTTAAATTAAGGTGGGCCATGCAAGAAGAAAAAAAACTAAAGTTTGTTTCGAACGAAATGGTGACGAGTAGAGCGTCTAGTGACCTAATGCTGGCAGTATTTTTAAAGAGCGTGAGATAATCGTGATATGTTCATCCTGAGGACGTCCTTTGTGAAAACATGCACGTGACCCCTGTTGATTCTTTGAAGTGCGTGATCGTAGTCCAGATTTTTGTACCCATAACACTGTAACCATGAGTCTGCTTGTAGTCTTCATCTTCATAACTGAATGCGAATGTACCTTTTTCCAAATATGTGCTGCCGCCTATCGGGAAACCTGGGTTCGATATTGGGTGCTACCAAAACAAATCCGCCATCTGTATGCTGTACAGAAGCTTCGTTTACCTAGCCCTTCTCGCGGGGAAGTGTTTTTTTTTTTTTTTTTTTTTTTTTCGTTTTGCATGAGTCAATCTACGTTGTTGTTCTTTTTTTTTTTTTTTCAAATATATGCTGCAGCCCATCGAGTCATTTGGGTTCGATATAGAGTGGCTAGAACTCAGTGCATTCGCAAGGCTTATCCGACTCATTTGACTGCGGTATTTGGGTACCTTCGTAGCATATTTAAAATTTCAAGTCACATACCTTCGGTACGGTACTGTCGGGATGAACAAATCTGGTTCGCGTTTGAGGCAGATCACTGAGTCGTCATCCCCCAAACCGTGCAAACCCCTCCCAGAACCGCGGTATAACTTTCAAACAAACCGTACGTTGCTGTGGCACAAGTTCATGCCGCTCGCCTCACGGGAAAAATACTGTTACGATAGGACGTAATAGCTGACACTGTGCAGACAAAAACTTTTAATGTCATACGACAAATGTCGAAAGAATCAATTGAAAAAGTTGGGCCTAGGCTCACGAAGTGACAACGCCATGATTGTTTTTGCTTTGTTCCTTTTACGCCGATCAAGTCTCTTACTCCTCTTCTTTCCGTCAATATACCTCCGTGCGCCGCCTCATGTTAACATTTGAGGAGGCCGAACGGCTTGGTTTAATACAAAGTGGCTCACGCAATGCGACGAAGCTCTTCCCCGTGAAAGGGGCTCGGCAAACGAGGCTTGTGCACAACATACAAGATGGCGAATCTGTTTTGGTAGCAAACAACCTCGAGGTCAGGAGCGTAGCGCTACGCACTTTGGAGAAAAGTACATACATTCAACAAGAACCAATATCACAGGTGGTGGCAGCACGCCCTTCTCAGTTGGGTTCTTTGTTAGCCCCCACCTGCGTCAGCACTCCAACTGCGTCAGCAACAAAGAGATAGGTATTTAGAATTCTGAACGCATTTCACCTATTACATTCTGAAACACTCAAAATTTTAAAAACTTTATTTTACTGTAATCATACTAGCTTCTGCGTAGGTCACGCGAGTTTATAGATGGCTGAACGTGCTACAGGGTTTCATGTATATTTACCAGCAAAATAAAAGAATGTCAGCATTAACACCGTTAGGACACTGCCCTAACTATGTTTTGTGAGGTGTGAAAACATGTTTTATTATCGAATGGAAGTATTCATGCAATGTTTTGATATATAATTTGGAATTTAGACCCTTTGGATAATCCCGGGAGCTCCGTGAAAACACGACTGTAACTTTTCATACATGAGCAAGTGACGGGAACGGCTCGGGTGTGGTCGTTCAGGTGTACACGTGTCACCAGTGCGAGCTGTCAACGTTCACCGCGGACCAAGGCGTCCGTTACAATCTCCTTAGGGGTATCGTGGCCAGATACGTCAAACTGCAGGTGCTCAAATGGAATAAGGCGCCCTGTCTTCGACTGGAACTTATCGGCTGCAGGTCACAAGGTACGGCCAATCCTTCTTTCATCTGTCCGAATGTTTTCTGGACAGTATCTTGAGTTCTCAGTTTTACAGCAATAGCTCTTAGTGAAACACTTCGCGGTTTTGCGCCGTCGGCCGCGCTCCATATCGACGCTTACCATTTTCGGCACTGCGCCAAAACATTCCACGGGCATCTGATAACGAGATAACAAGCAACCAAGATAACATGCATGGTCAGAAAACCAGTCCCCGCCGGGCAATCTGGCAGTGCACTGGGATAGGTGCCTGTGTGGCCCAGAATTAGCACCAACAGCCAATTGTCCGGAGATACGCTGCTAAAACTGCCGTATAATGTTACGATGCATTCTGTATCGGAAAGCAAGGGGAAAGCATGTACGTTAGTGCCCCTCCAAAGCACCTGGCAAATACAGAGTTTCATTTTCTAAACGAATAACCAGAAAGATGGTATTAATAGTGTGTGTTTGTTTCAATAAACCTTTCTTTGAGAGTGCAGTTTGTTTTGTCTAGTTCATTGTCTCTGTTTGTTCGACACTTTTCGTTTTAGAACGTCTGACTATTTGTGCCAAAGTGACTTAGGAAAACATGCTCCCTCTTACGCAGACATATGAAATGCTCTCTGCTAAATACACCTTCATTGGTTTCAAAACGCTATGGAATTTTCGTCCGGTGTGCTGCTCGGTTTAATACAAAACGCCTATGCGGAGTCCATGGTGCGCTCTCGCACCTTTGCCACTCAATCAGTCCGTCTGCTCTGAAATGACGCCTTAGCGACCCCGACGTCACACTTCAGCTGTTGATGTGTTTCACCTTACAGGTTGCGCATTTGAAACCTCATTTTCATTCAATTTCCTTCTTTTATTTGCTTACACTGAACCGACATTTCTAGTTCCCGTATAGATTTGTTCCCTTGGTGTAGACATATTTTTATTTGGGTTCCTTGACTGCCTCATAGTGTTGATTTCTAAAATTGCCCAAAAAATCTTTCAGCCTTTCCACTCTGGTGAAGAAGGAAGACCAGCGAAGCTGTACTATGGTGGGAACGAAGTAATGGCCGGCCGCAAGTCGGCAAGCCCGAGTGGAAAGGCTGGAAAGGCTGCCGGCCATCCATGAGCAACGGCGGCAATCAGACAACCGGCAGGCCGGTTGTCTGGTTCCCGCCGTCACTCATAGATGGCGGTAGCTGTTCAGAGTTCTGTGTCATCAGGTCATCTTAGGATTGACGCGATCCTGGGGAAATTAGCCCCTAAGAGCTCCGCTGTAAAACCTATCGCCTGAGGTGGGAAGGATACAGAGAACATGAATGCTTTTGTAGATGTAACAGCTAAGGTTTTTGAAGTCAACTTCTCTTTTCTTTATCAATTGTGTTGTCTTAGGGTCCCCCCAATCGCTTTTCGCGTAGAGTTAGTTACCTTTAAGATGCTTCCTTAATCGCTTAAGATAAAACCGCCTGTGAACTCGTCAGTGAACTGCGGTGCTGTTCTGGAGGATTCCGAAGGAGCCATTGCGTCGCCAAACCATCCCTTCTACTACGGCCAAGACAAGAGCTGCTGGTGGAAGATTTTGCCTCCTCCGGGAAAGCACGTCTGGCTCAGCTTCATTATTTTCGACCTGGCTCAGCGGGAGGCCTCCTCCAGAGCTGGACAATGCCAGGCGAGTTTAGCCCCTAGTCTTCTTCAATTTTTCTTGTGGTCTTTGTGTTCTGAGCTTTAGAAAAGAAAAAAATTAACAGCACAATTATACTAATCTGCATGGTTATATAATTATTGTAAAACATGTGGCAATCTAAAGAATTACAATGATCTTAATAAGGGCTAGAAGGTAAGAGATGGCATGAAAAAAAGAGAATTATTTTTTAAAGAGAATTCATACTAAGCTAAGTTTTTTTATTATTATTAAATGGTGGCACGGGCCTTATGGTATTGCATTAACCTGTTCCCTTGTTTTCTTTTTTTAGAGGGGGGGGATTGCGTATGGGGGTTAGTTGACTTCAATTTTATGACATAGAAAATACCGCAAGAAACCGTTAGTCGAGCCATTACTTTAATTTACTATTAAGCACTAATGTTCACCCTTTAAATGTTGGATTACCATTGGAGATTCTCCATACTCAGGCGATGTACATTAATTCCAATCACTGAAGGCCAAATTCCGTTTTTCAATTGAGATGGACTTCGACGAGAGGATAAGGTTTAAGCCGAATTTCTAGATTCTTCTTGACCTAATCTAAAATACCGATCGGTTCGCTTTGCACATCTTACAAAATGTCCTTCCTCGTGTATTTCTGTTTAGGACCAGCTACTCCTCTACCCAGGGCACAGCGCAAAGAGCAACTGTTCCGACTCCATTCTGTCTCCGAACGGCCACACTTTTCCTAAGGAAATCATCTCCAACGGACCCATGGAGATCCACCTCAAGACCTGCTTTCGTTACTCCCTGAGCAGATTCAGCGGCTTCTATGCCACCTACAAATTCACTGGTAAGTAGCACTTCACTTGCTCAGCCTTCAAAACAAAATGCATTTTTACGGACTTTTTTTTTTTTTTCAAGCAACCGTACAAATAAGTATGGCCATTGAGGTTCCAGCTTTACAAGCCATTCAAATATCAAATAGACCAATAAGATTATGCCAACAATAATTTTAAAGTAGACAAAATAGGTTTACTGTTTAGTGATGTTCACCCGGTGCACGCATCACGCGAAAAAATAGTCAGGCTTTTACAATACGGCGCTATGGCGTCGGGTACGCGGCGGAAAAAGGGAGGGTTGCTTGGGCGGCACAAACAATCCTCGTGTGGCGGCGGATGAGTTTGTCTTCAATAATGTGTTGTCGTTAAACATTTCTGTGTCGAATGTAGAGCTCGCTTAACTCGTCTGCGGTGGTGTCAAGTGTGCAAACCGCTCGAATGGACGGCAAACGCTGACATCCCTTTTCCCGGCACTTCGTCGGAGTGAACGACGAAGCTGAGGAAGACATTGTGTCCGCTGTCGACGTCACGCACATCCCTGCGCTGATTTCTCCCCCGCGTTAACACCGCTTTACGAACAGCGCCAGTTCGCTGAGGTGCTTCGCGTTACGCAAAAAAACGACAGTGTCACCATCATCAGTTAGCCATTTGGTCGATGACATCGCAAAAATAAGCACGCATGATCGCAAGAATCTTTCGCGCTCAACGGGAGTTCGCCAAAACACCGCAACGCAAAGCCGTTGTTTAAAGCACGAAATACTATACTTTGTTTCAGCTTCGGTCCGAGCGCGGCCGATGTTATGAGTCGAAGCGCCAATCATACAGCGCAAAAAGCGCAGCGTCATGGCGTGCTCTCTGCGCTTGATAGGACTAGCCGGCAGAGGAGCGCGCACAGAGAGACGGCGCATACCGGCTGGTCCTATTAACTGCAGAGAGCACGCCATGACGTTGTGCCTCTTTCGCTGTTTGATTAACCCCTCGGCTCATAACATCGGCCGCTCTCGGACCGAAGCTGAAACGAAGTATAACAAAACCCCTCCACCTCACCTCCCCCCCCCCCCCCCCCCTCCCTCCGCAGTCCCGAAATTTTCCCGCTAAATTCAGGAGGGAAATTGCCGTCAGGCGACCTGACGTCACGTAGCCTAAACACCAATTCAGTTTCCCCGCTAAATTTAGCGGAGTAATTGATGTCACGTGACCTATACACCAATTCAGTCTCCCCGCTAAATTCTGCGGGTAAATTGATGCCACGTGACACGCACCAATTCAGTTTTCCCGCTAAACTTAGCGTGGAATTGACGTCAAGTGACCTGTGCACCTCAAGTAAAGCGACACCGCTTCACTTCTCCTACCTCTCCCGTCTCACCTAAATCCCCTTCCGCCCTGTCCTTCACCCCGTCCCCCCCTGCCCACCCCCCTTCCTCCCTACACCCCTTTACGGTGCCCTCTTATGTGCTACCAACACGAGCAAGCCCCGCGAAATCAGCCTCATCAAGTACTATTGCATTAGACGGAATGTCTAAGTCAGGTGATATAAACAATTGATTTTTCTCTCTCATAAACGACTGTTCAATTTTTTTATAATTGAATGTGGACGATCGCTCCCCAAAGGGCTGCATTTTACGCGTTATAGGACTTTGGAGAAAAAGGTCGCTGTCAATTTTATTATATTTATAAGGAAACTCGGTACTCGAAAACGCGTCGTGGCAACAAGGATGTAACGGATCCTACTCACAAATGGCCTGCAGCGAGGCCACTTCTTAGCACATGCGTCGCTCTATTACCTCTTGTTTGCTCGGTGCCGACACTTTCCCCTCTGACACCCGCTATTAGACAATAATGACAATTTTATGAGACCTCCTGTATCTTGAAGCTCGCCGTCAGACACGAACGAAGGAAAAGTAAAGCCCCGCATAAAAATGTAACGACAT